CCCCGAAGCCCCCTGCCCCCCCTGAAGCCCCGTGCCCGCAGATGGTGCCCACGGAGCTGGTGGAGAAGGAGTTCTGGCGCCTGGTGAACAGCATCGAGGAGGACGTGACCGTGGAGTACGGCGCCGACATCCACTCCAAGGAGTTCGGCTCCGGCTTCCCCGTGCGCGACGGCAAACGGCGCCTGTCCCCCGAGGAGGAGGTGGGACGGGGCATTGTCACCTCCCCTGGGGCATTGTCACCTCCCCGGGGCATTGTCACCTCCCCAGGGCACGGCCACCTCTCCTGGGGGCACTGCCAGGGGCATTGTCACCTCCCCGGGGCATTGTCACCTCCTCTGGGGGCACTGCTAGGGGCATTGTCACCTCCCCGGGGCATTGTCACCTCTCCTGAGGGCACTGCCAGGGGTATTGTCACCTCCCTGGGGCATTGTCACCTCTCCTGAGGGCACTGCCAGGGGCATTGTCACCTCCCCTGGGCATTGTCACCTCCCCAGGGCACAGCCCCCTCTCCTGAGGGCACTGCCAGGGGCATTGTCACCTCCCCTGGGGCACTGCCACCTCCCCAGGGCACTGCCAGGGACATTGTCACCTCTCCCGGGGGCACTGCCACGTGGCAGGGTGATGCTGTCCCCATGCCCCGGTGATGCTGTCCCCGTGTCCCCTCAGTGTCCCTGTCCCCACAGTGGGAGTGATGCCATGTCCCCGTGCCTGGGTGATGTGCCACCTCCCCAGGGCACTGCCAGGGACATTGTGACCTCCCCCAGGGGCACTGCCACCTCCGCAGGGGCACTGCCAGGGACATTGTCACCTCCTCCAGGGGCACTGCCACGTGGCAGGGTGATGCTGTCCCCATGCCCAGGTGACACTGTCCCCGTGTCCCCTCGCTGTCCCCGTACCCAGGTGACACTGTCCCTGCTGTCCCCATGTCCTCTTGGTGCCCTGTCCCCAGGGTGACGCTGTCCCTGCTGTCCCCATGTCCCTGTGCCTGGGTGACACTGTCCCTGCTGTCCCTGTGCCTGGGTGACGCTGTCCCTGCTGTCCCCGTGCCCGGGTGACGCTGTCCCCATGTCCCCGTGTCCCCAGGAGTACGCGGGCAGCGGCTGGAACCTGAACGTGATGCCGGTGCTGCAGCAGTCGGTGCTGTGCCACATCAACGCCGACATCTCGGGCATGAAGGTGCCCTGGCTCTACGTGGGCATGGTGTTCTCAGCCTTCTGCTGGCACATCGAGGACCACTGGAGCTACTCCATCAACTACCTCCACTGGTGGGCACAGGGGATCAGGAGGTTTTTAGGATGGAATCAGGAGGTTTTTAGGATGGAATCAGGAGTTTTTTGGGGTGTCCATCCTCAGGGGTGAGCCCAAGACGTGGTACGGGGTCCCGTCGTTCGCGGCCGAGCACCTGGAGGAGGTGATGAAGAAGCTGACGCCGGAGCTGTTCGAGAGCCAGCCCGACCTCCTGCACCAGCTCGTCACCCTCATGAACCCCAACACCCTGATGGCCCACGGCGTCCCCGTGAGTTGGGGGTGTCCCCAAACCCCCCCCGGCCCTGTCACACCCTGCTGAGGTCAGGTGTGAGCCCAGGTGTGTCCCCAGGTGGTCCGGACCAACCAATGCGCCGGCGAGTTCGTCATCACCTTCCCCCGCGCCTACCACAGCGGCTTCAACCAGGGCTACAACTTTGCTGAGGCTGTCAACTTCTGCACGGCCGACTGGGTGAGCTCGGGGGGCTCCAAAATATCCCGGGGGGGGGCAGAAAATATACCTGGGGGGGCAGAAAAATACCTGGGGGAGTCACAGAAAAACTTGGGGAGCGCAATGAGGGAAACTGCGAAATTTGCGGGTGGAGGGTGATAAAGAAAAGGAGAACCTAAAATTCTGGGAGTGATTCTAAAAATGTGCTTGAAGTGGCACAGAATACCTGGGGGGGCAGAAGATATGCCTGGGGGGGCACAGAATGTCTGGGGGAATCAACAAAAAAAAGTGAGGGAGGGCAAAGAAAACTTCACAGGAAAATAGCGAAATTTGCGGGTGGAGAAAGGAAGAAAAAGGAAAGGAGAAGCCAAAATTGAGTGGGGCACAAAATGTACTTGGAGAGGCACAGAAGGTACCTGAGGGGATAGAAACTGTACCTGGGGGGGCAGAAAAATACCTGAGGGGGGCAGAAAAATACCTGGGGGAATCACAGAAAAAACTCGGGGAGCGCAACGAGGGAAACTGCGAAATTTGCGGGTGGAGGGATGATAAAGAAAAGGAGAACCTAAAATTCTGGGAGTGATTCTAAAAATGTGCTTGAAGTGGCACAGAATACCTGGGGGGGCAGAAGATATGCCTGGGGGGGCACAGAATGTCTGGGGGAATCAACAAAAAAAAGTGAGGGAGGGCAAAGAAAACTTCACAGGAAAATAGCGAAATTTGCGGGTGGAGAAAGGAAGAAAAAGGAAAGGAGAAGCCAAAATTGAGTGGGGCACAAAATGTACTTGGAGAGGCACAGAAGGTACCTGAGGGGATAGAAACTATACCTGGGGGGGCAGAAAAATACCTGAGGGGGGCAGAAAAATACCTGGGGGAATCACAGAAAAAACTCGGGGAGCGCAACGAGGGAAACTGCGAAATTTGCGGGTGGAGGGTGATAGAGAAAAGGAGAACCCAAAATTCTGAGGGGCACAAAATACGCTTGGAAGAGCACAGAAAGTACCTGAGGGGGCAGAAAAATATACCTGGAGGGGCAGAAAATATACCTGGGGGGGGCAGAAAATATACCTGGGGGAATCAACAAAAAAACTGGGGGAACGCAAGGAGGGAAACAGGGAGATTTGTGGGTGGAGGGTGATAGAGAAAAGGAGAAGCCAAAATTCTGGGAGGCACAAAAAATGTGTTTAGAGTGGCACAGGAAATACCTGGGGGGCATAAAAATACCTGGGGGGGGGGCACAGAATATTTGGGGGAATCAATAAAAAAATTGGGAGAGTGTAAAGAAAACTTTACAGGGAAACAGTGAAATTTGCGGGTGGAGAAAGGAAGAAAAAGGAAAGGAGAAGCCAAAATTGAGTGGGGCACAAAATGTGTTTGGAGGGGCACAGAAAATACTTGGGGGGGGCAGAAAATATACCTGGGGGGGCACAGAATATCTGTCCCCCGTTTTTGGGGAGCCCCCGTGCAGCTCCCCACAGGCAGGCAGTGTTAAAAGCACTGCCCAGTTCAGGGGTATGGGGGGGTTCCCCAGGTTTGGGGGTGCCTAGGTCTGTTTAAAGCTGTGTTTGGGGGTCCCCCCGATTTTGGGGAGCCCCCCTGACCCCCGTGCAGGTCCCCACAGGCAGGCAGTGCAGGGAGCATTATCAGGTGCCCAGCTCAGGCCAGGGGCACAGGGGGGTTCCCAGCTTTGGGGGCTCAGTCCAGCTGGGTTCAGGGCTGTGTTTAGGGGTCCCCCCAGATTTTGGGGACCCCCTGACCCCCCATTTTCCTTTCAACTCCCTGCAGGCAGGCAGTGCATCAAGCACTACCCAGTTTAGGGGCACACAGAGATATCCCAGCTTTGGGGACTCAGCCCAGCCAGGCTCAGGGCTGTGTTTAGGGGTCCCCCCAGATTTTGGGGACCCCCCCATACCCCCCATTTTCCTTTCAGCTCCCCGCAGGCAGGCAGTGCATCGAGCACTACCCAGTTCAGGGGCACACAGAGATATCCCAGCTTTGGGGGCTCAACACTGGGGGTACCCAGCTGGGTTCAGGGCTGTGTTTGGGGGTCCCCCCAGGTTTTGGGGACCCCCCTGACCCCCCCAATCCCTGCAGCTCCCCGCAGGCAGGCAGTGCATCGAGCACTACCCAGTTCAGGGGCACACAGGGGGGCTCCCAGCTTTGGGGGCTCAGCACTGGAGGGACCCAGCCGGGTTCAGGGCTATGTTTAGGGGGTCCAGGGGGTCTCCCAGATTTTGGGGACCCCCCTGACCCCCCGTTTTCCCTGCAGCTCCCCGCAGGCAGGCAGTGCATCGAGCACTACCGCCGCCTGCGCCGTTACTGCGTCTTCTCGCACGAGGAGCTGATCTGCAAGATGGCAGCGAGCCCCGAGAAGCTGGACCTGAACCTGGCGGCCGCCGTGCACAAGGAGATGTTCGTGCTGGTGCAGGAGGAGCGCAAGCTGCGCAAGGCCCTGCTGGAGAAGGTGGGGCACCCCGAAAATTTGGGGGGTGAGGGGCGACCTGAAAGGTGGAGGGGTGGGGAGCCCTTAGCTCCCCTGTTCTCCCCTGGGAGGTCACAGAGGGGTTAAGGGGTGCTGGGGGTACCCCAAAAGCTCTGGGGAAGGCGGTGACAGTTGTGTTTGTATCACCTTCAGGGGGTAATGGAGGGGTTGGGGCACCCCAAAAACTCTGGGGAGGGGGTGAGGGTTGTGTTTGTGCCTCCTTCAGGGGGTGATGGAGGGGTTGGGGCACCCCAAAAGCTCCCCTGTTCTCCCCTGGGAGGTCACAGAGGGGTTAAGGGGTGCTGGGGGTACCCCAAAAGTTGTGGGGAGGGGTGAGGGTTGTGTTTGTGCCCCATTTAGGGGGCTATGGGGGTACTGGGGGTGTTAGGGGCACCCCAAAATCTCCATGGGGGGGGTTTGATGTCTTGTTTTTTGCCCCCCCAGGACATCCCAGAGGCAGAGCAGGAATGCAGGGGGGATCTGACAGAATTTTTATTCCTCTGAGGGGATCATGAAGGGATTAGGGCTGCTGAGAACACCCCAAAATCTCCATGGGAGGGGCCTGATGTTTTTTTTGTCCCCCAAGGCATCATGGAGGCAGAGCAGGAATGCAGGGGAGGATCTGACAGAATTTTTATCCTGCTTAGGGCATCACGGAGTGACTGGACCTGCTGAGAACACCCCAAAATCTGCATGGCAGGGGGGTCTGATGCCCATTTTTTTGCCCCCCCAGGGCATCACGGAGGCAGAGCAGTAAGGGTTGGAGCTGCAGGGGGGATTTTTATCTCTCTCAAGGCATCATGAAGGGATTAGGGGTGCTGAGAACACCCCAAAATCTCCCCCCCAAGGACATCCCAGAGGCAGAGCAGGAATGCAGGGGGGATCTGACAGAATTTTTATCCCTCTCAAGGCATCATGAAGGGGTTGGAGGTGCTGAAAACACCCCAAAATCTCCAGGGGCGGGTGTCTAATGTTGGTTTTCTTGCCCCCCAAGAACATCACAGAGGCAGAGCAGGAAGGATTGGAGTTGCAGGGGAGATTTTTATCCCTCTCAAGGCATCATGAAGGGATTGGAGGTGCTGAGAACACCCCAAAATCTCCAGGGGAGGGTCTGATGTTGGTTTTTTTTGCCCCCCAGGGCATCACAGAGGCAGAGCAGGAAGGGTTGGAGCTGCAGGGAGGATTTTTATCCCTCTCAAGGCATCATGAAGGGATTGGAGGTGCTGAGAACACCCCAAAATCTCCATGGGGGGTCTGATGCCCATTTTTTTGCCCCCCCAGGGCATCACGGAGGCAGAGCGCGAGGCCTTCGAGCTGCTGCCCGACGACGAGCGGCAGTGTGACAAGTGCAAGACCACGTGTTTCCTGTCAGCCCTGGCCTGCTACGACTGTCCCCAGGGCCTCGTCTGCCTCTACCACATGGACGACCTCTGCAAGTGCCCCCGCAGCAAGCAGTACCTCAGGTGGGGGGGCTGGGGGCTCTGGGGGGGTGGNGTTGGGGGGTTGGGAGAGGGGTTTTGGGGGGTTTGAATAGGGTTTAGGAGGCTTTGAATGGGGTTTGAATGGGGTTTGGGAGGTTTGGAGAGGGGTTTGGGGGCGCTGGGGACCTGGATGTGCCCTTGGGGGGACGTAGGAGTGGTTTGGGGGGGGTCTGTAAGATTTGGGGGGCTGAGGACATGGATATGCCCTTGGGCGGAGTTAGGGGTGGTTTGGGAGGGTCTGTAAGATTTGGGGTGGGTTTTGGGGTGTTGGTGCCCTTGAGGACACACATGGGGTTGACCTGGGGGGCCTGTGGGTCCTGGTGTGACCCTGGCTGTGACTTTGGGGGTGCTGAAGATCTCGGGGTGTCCCTGGGACAGGGCAGGGGACACAACCACGACCTGGAGGCTCCTCTGCCAATTTGGGGCACCTCCCCCCAACAACCCACCCCATACCCCATCAGCTCAGTCTGGGGGTCCTGTTTCTGCTTTTTGGGGTGCACGGGGGGGCTCGCGGTGACCCCCAGTGCCCCCCAGGTACCGCTACACCCTGGACGAGCTGCCGGCCATGCTGCACAAGCTCAAGGTGCGCGCCGAGTCCTTCGACACCTGGGCCAACAAGGTGCGCATCGCCCTCGAGGTGGAGGACGGCCGCAAGCGCAGTGAGTGGGGGTCTCGGGGGGATTTCTGGGGGGCTCTAAAGGGAATTTTGGGGGTTCAGAGCTCAGCGCTGACCCCCCGGCTGTGCCCGGCCAGCGCTGGAGGAGCTGCGGGCGCTGGAGTCGGAGGCGCGGGAGCGCAAGTTCCCCGAGAACGAGCTGCTGCACCGCCTCAAGGGCTGCCTGGGCCAGGCCGAGCGCTGCGTGTCCGAGGCCCTGGGGCTCATCAGCTCCCAGGAGACCGGGTGAGTGTCCCCAGCTGTCCCCAGCTGTCCCCTGAGTGTCCCCAGCAGGGCAGTGTCACCGTCACGGGTCACTCTCTCTGTGTGTTCAGCCCCTGAGTGTCGGCGTACTCGGTTTGCTGGCTCTGTTGTGCTTCTGCGTGTCCCTGTGCTGTCACCTGTGTCCCTGTCCTGTCCCCTGTGGATCCTGGACACTGCTGTGTCCCTGTCTTGTCCCCTTGGGTGTCCTGGACACTGCTGTGTCCCTGTCCCATCCCCTCTGTCTCTGTCCTGTCCCCTTGGGTGTCCTGGACACGCCTGTGTCCCTGTCCTGTCCCCTATGGATGTTGGACACTCCTGTGTCCCTGTCCTGTTCCCTGTGGACTCTGGACACTTCTGTGTCCCTGTCCTATCCCCCGTGTCCCTGTGCTGTCACCTGTGTCCCTCTCCTATCCTCTGTGGGTCCTGGACACTCCTGTGTCCCTGTCCTGTCCCCTCCATATCCTGGACACTGCTGTGTCCCTGTCCTGGACACTCCCGTGTCCCTGTCCTGTCCTCTGTGTCCCTGTCCTGTCCCTATGGACACCGGACACCTCCATGTCCCCGTTCTGTTGCCTTTAGACTTCCCATCTGTCCCCTTGTCCCCATCCCCTCCCTGTCCCAGCAGTGCCTGCTGTCCCTGCAGGGTCCCCATCCCCCCCCGTCCCCATGTCCCTGCAGTGCCTGCTGTCCCCTCCTTTTTCCTCTGTCCCTACAGTGTCAATGTCCCCTGCATGTCCCCACAGTGTCACTGTCCCCGCAGGGTCCCCATCCTCTCCCTGTCCTGTCTGTGTCCCCAGCAGTGTCCCTGTCCCCTCCGTGTCCCCACAGCGTCCCTGTCCCCTCTCTGTCCCCTCCATGTCGCTGTCCCCTCCATGTCCCCGTCCCCTCCATGTCCCCAGAGTGTCCCTGTCCCCAGAGTGTCGCTGTCCCCACAGGGTCCCGTCCCTGTCCCCAGAGTGTCTCCGTGTCCCAGCAGTGTCGCTGTCCCCTGTGTCCCCAGAGTGTCGCTGTCCCATCCCTGTCCCCAGAGTGTTGCTGTCCCGAGTGTCACTGTTCCCTCCGTGTCCCCAGAGTGTCCCTGTCCCCAGAGTGTCCCTGTCCCCTCCGTGTCCCTGTCCCAGAGTGTCGCTGTCCCCAGAGTGTCCCTGTCCCCTCTGTGTCCCAGCAGTGTCGCTGTCCCCTCCACGTCCCAGAGTGTGGCTGTCCCCTCCATGTCCCTGTCCCCAGAGTGTGGCTGTCCCCTCCATTCCCCTGCCCCAGAGTGTCCCTGTCCCCAGAGTGTGGCTGTCCCCTCCATGTCCCTGTCCCAGAGTGTTGCTGTCCCTGCAGGGTCCCGTCCCTGTCCCCAGAGTGTCGCTGTCCCCTCCATGTCCCTGTCCCAGAGTGTCCCTGTCCCAGAGTGTGGCTGTCCCCTCCGTGTCCCCGTCCCACAGTGTGGCTGTCCCCTCCCTGTCCCCGTCCCAGAGTGTGGCTGTCCCCAGAGTGTGGCTGTCCCCTCCCTGTCCCTGTCCCAGAGTGTGGCTGTCCCCGCAGGGTCCCCGCGCCGGCGCTGACGGTGGAGGAGCTGCGGGCGTTCCTGGAGCAGATGAACCAACTGCCCTGCGTCATGCACCAGATCGGGGACGTGCAGGTGGGACAGCGGGGCCACACGGTGTCACACGCTGTCACACGTTACACACTGTCACACGGTGTTACACACTGTCACACACTGTCACACAGTGTCACACACTGTCACACGGTGTCACACGGTGTCGCATGCTGTCACACGGTGTTGCACGGTGTCCTGGGGATGTCACACAGTGTCCCAGGAGTGTCCCAGGGGTGTCACACAGTGTCCTGGAGATGTCCCAGGGGTGTCTCAGGGGTGTCACACAGTGTTCCAGGAGTGTCTCAGGGGTGTCCTAGGGCTGTCCCACAGTGTCCCAGGAGTGTCCCAGGGTCTCACACAGTGTCCCAGGGGTGTCCCAGGGCTGTCCCACAATGTCCCAGGCTGTCCCACAGTATCCCAGCACTGTCCCTGCAGTGTCACACAGTGTCTAGTGTGGCTGTCCCCGCAGGGTCCCCGCGCCGGCGCTGACGGTGGAGGAGCTGCGGGCGTTCCTGGAGCAGATGAACCAACTGCCCTGCGTCATGCACCAGATCGGGGACGTGCAGGTGGGACAGCGGGGCCACACGGTGTCACACGCTGTCACACGTTACACACTGTCACACGGTGTTACACACTGTCACACACTGTCACACAGTGTCACACACTGTCACACGGTGTCACACGGTGTCGCATGCTGTCACACGGTGTCACACGGTGTCGCATGCTGTCACACGGTGTTGCACGGTGTCCTGGGGATGTCACACAGTGTCCCAGGAGTGTCCCAGGGGTGTCACACAGTGTCCTGGAGATGTCCCAGGGGTGTCTCAGGGGTGTCACACAGTGTTCCAGGAGTGTCTCAGGGGTGTCCTAGGGCTGTCCCACAGTGTCCCAGGAGTGTCCCAGGGTGTCACACAGTGTCCCAGGGGTGTCCCAGGGCTGTCCCACAATGTCCCAGGCTGTCCCACAGTATCCCAGCACTGTCCCTGCAGTGTCACACAGTGTCCCAGGGCTGTCCCACAATGTCCCAGGCTGTCCCATAGTACCCCAGCCCCAGGCTCTCCTGGAGCGGGTGGAAGCGTTCCAGGCGGAGGCGCGGGCGGCGCTGGCCGTGCCCCCCCCGGGCCCGGGGGCTCTGCAGGAGCTGCTGGAGCGGGGGTCCCGCCTGGGCGTGGAGGTGCCCGAGGGCCGGCGGCTGGAGCGGCAGCTGGCCCAGGCCGCGTGGCTGGAGGAGGTGACGGCCACGCTGAGGTCCCCCCGGGCCCGCGTCCCCCTGCCCGTCATGCGCGGCCTCATCCAGGCCGGCCGCACCGTGGCCCCCAGCCCCGCCGTGGACGTGGCCATGGCCGAGCTGCAGGAGCTGCTGACCATCGCCCAGCGCTGGGAGGAGAAGGCTCAGATGTGCCTCGAGGCCAGGTCAGGGACAGGGACCCCTCCCCGGGGGGAGGTGGGGGGATGGAACCCTCCTGAGAGGGGATGTGGGGGTATGGCCCCCTCCCCGGGGGGATGTGGGGGGATGGACCCCTCCCCGGGGGGGAGGTGGGGGGATGGACCCCTCCCCGGGGGGAGATGGGGGGATGGACCCCTCTTGAGGGGGAGGTGGGCAGTTGGACCCCTCCCCAGGGGGAGATGGGGGGATGGACCCCTCTTGAGGGGGAGATGGGCAGTTGGACCCCTCCCCAGGGGGAGATGGGGGCTGGGGGCTGCACCTGAGAGGGGGATGGAGCTGTGCCCTGTGTTCCCTGGGTGGGGATATAAAGGGTCTGGGGGCTGCCCCTAATGGCTTTGGGGGGATAGAAGGGGTCTGGGGTCTCTAATACATGGCTTTAAAGGGTCTGGGGGCTGCCCCTAATGGCTTTGAGGGGATAGAAAAGGGCTGGGGGCTCTAGTACATGGTTTTAAAGGGTCTGGGGGCTGCCCCTCATGGCTTTGAGGGGACAGAAAGGTCTGGGGGCTCCAGCACATGACTTTCAAGGGGCTGGGGCTGATCCCTGTGTCCCCTGGCTGGGGATAAAGGGGCTGGGGGCTGCCCCTCATGTGTCTGTGCAGGAAATAAAGGGGCTGGGGGCTTCTCCCCATGTGCCCAGGAGGCCATAAAGGGGCTGGGGGTGACTCAGTGGGGAGGGGGATGAAGCTTTGGGGTTTGACCGCTCCTCAGAGGTTCCTGCCCCGGCTCTGGGGGTCTCAGGGGTATCTCTGGGGGTCCCAGGGAGCTCTGGGGGTGTCAGGGATCTCTGGGGGTGTCGTGGATCTCTGGGGGTCCCAGGGAGCTCTGGTCCCCATGGACACTGGACACCCCTGTGTTCCTGTCCCCATGGACCTCCCATCTGCCACCATGACCCCACCCTGTCCCATCCTGTCCCTGTCCCATCCTTGTCCCTGCCATGTCCCTTCTTTCACCATGACCCCATTCTGTCCCTGTCCCATCCTTGTCCCTGCTGTCACTATGTCCCCATCCATCTCCCATCCTTGTCCCTGCTGTCACTGTGTCCCCATCCCTGTCCCATCCCTGTCCCTGCTGCCACCATGACCCCATCCTGTCCTATACCTGTTCCTGCCATGTCCCCATCCTGTCACATCCCTGTCCTTGCTGTCACTGTGTCCCCATCCCTGTCACATCCCTGTCTCTGCTGCCACCATGACCCCATCCTGTCTTCTCTGCCCCCCGACCTCATCCTGTCCTCTCCCTGTCCCATCCCCGTCCCTGCTGTCACCACGACCCCATCTTGTCCCATCCCTGTCCCATCCCTGTCCCCGCCACCATGTCCCCACCCTGTCCCCCCCACATCCCGCTCTCCGCACTGCTGTCCCTGCGTGTCCCCGTGTCCCCACGCCACCCCGCTGACGCCGTGTCCCCGCAGAACGGTGACCACTACCCGTGCCTGGACGACCTGGAGGGGCTGGTGGCCGTGGGCCGGGACCTGCCCGTGCGGCTGGAGGAGCTGCGGCAGCTCGAGGTGCAGGTGGGCACCGCGCACTCCTGGCGGGACAAGGCCTCCCGCACCTTCCTCAAGAAGAACTCCTGCTACACCCTGCTCGAGGTGGGTCTGGGGGGGTTGTGGGGGGTGTGGGGTGGGGTCTGGCAGGGCGCTGACCCCCTCGTGGTGTCCCCCAGGTGCTGTGTCCCTGTGCTGATGCCGGCTCAGACAGCAGCAAGAGGCTCAAGTGGCGGCAGGAGCCGGGGCTGTACCGGCTGGACGCCGAGAGCTTGGGGCTGTCAGCGCAGGACCTGCGGGACCCCGGTGCTGTGGTGAGGAGTGGGGGGTGTGGGGGGCACCCCGGGACCCCCAGGCCTGGCACTGCCCCTGTCCCTACTGTCCCCACCCCGGGATTGGGGTGTTTGGGGAGGGGGCGCCGCGTACGACCTCGATTCCTGTCACTGCTCGTGTTCCTTATTCTCCCTAAATTTGGGGGGTTTGGGGTGGGGGGCACCCACATTTCCCCAATCCCTGTCACCTCACACCCCTACTGTCCCCCACATCATGGCATTCAGGGATTTGGGGTGGGGGTCACACCCTGTGACACCCCCAATCCCTATCCCCTCTCACCCCCTGCTCTCCTCCACCCCAGATTTTGGCGTTCAAAGGTTTGGGGTGGGGGGCACGCACATTTCCCCAATCCCTGTCACCTCTCACAGCCCACACCTCCCCAGATCATGGCATTCAGGGGTTTGGGGTGGGGGTCACACCCTGTCACCCCCCTCAATCCCTATCCCCTGCTCTCCCCCCAGAGCTCCTTAGGGGACACACAAAACTGCCCCAGAGACCCCCAAACGCTCCCTCAGGGCACAGAACCCCCTAAACTACCCCAAACCCTCCTCAGGGCCCCCCCAAACCACCCCAGAACTCCAAAGGAGCTCCAGGAGCCTCAAACTTGCCCCAAAGTCTCCTAGGGGACCCCAGATTGTCCCCAGGACTCCAAAACTTGCCCCAAACACCCTGAGGAGCCCAGAACTGCCCCAACCCCTTCTGAAAACCACCCCAGAACTCCAAAGGAGCTCCAGGAGCCTCAAACTTGCCCCAAAGTCTCCTAGGGGACCCCAGATTGTCCCCAGGACTCCAAAACTTGCCCCAAACACCCTGAGGAGCCCAGAACTGCCCCAACCCCTTCTGGGCACCCCAAAACTGCCCCAAAGTGTTTCCCTTGAGCCCCAAAACTGCCCCAACCCCTTCTGAGCACCCCAAAACTGCCCCAAAGTGTTTCCCTTGAGCCCCAAAACTGCCCCAACCCCTTCTGAGCACCCCAAAACTGCCCCAAAGTGTTTCCCTTGAGCCCCAAAACTGCCCCAGCCCCTTCTGGGCACCCCAAAACTGCCCCAACCTGTTCTGGGCACCTCAGAACTGCCCCCAAATAATCTCACTTGAACCCCAAAACTGCCCCAACCCCTTCTGGGCACCCCAGAACTGCCCCAACCTCTTCTGGGCACCTCAGAACTGCCCCCAAATAATCTCACTTGAACCCCAAAACTGCCCCAACCCCTTCTGGGCACCCCAGAACTGCCGCCAAATCATCTCTTAAAGCTTTTATGGACCCCCTCAAATTCCCTCAGAGACCCCAAAAACAGCTCCTCGTGCCCTCTTCCTCATGGTGGGGGGTCTCCAAAACTCCCCCCCCGCCCCCCATTGCCCTTCCTTACCCCCTCCCCACCACCCTGGGCACCCCAAACCCGCCCTGCCCTGACAGCCCCGCCCCTCCACTCCCCATTTTGGGG